AGGGTACACTCTGCCCCTCATGCACATCACTAATGAAGAACGTGAAATGACCGTCATGAAGATGTTAACCAGGACTGGACCGAGTATGCGGGCCCCCTTCACTCTCCCCAGGGTACACTGCTGGTTACTGGCCTCCAACTAGACCATGTGTCCCTCATCACCACCCTCAGGGCCCAGCCATTCAGCCAGTTTTGAATCCACCTCACTGTCTGCTCAGCCAGCCCCTACAGCAACAGCTTGAGGGGCTATGGGGCTCTCAATGGGAGACACTGTCCAAGAACTTACTGAAGGCCTGGTGGGCACTAGCCATTGGTCTCCCCTCAGCTACCAGGCATGTCAGTTTATTGTAGAAGTCTACCAGCTTGTACCAGACTTCTCCTTGGTGAAGCTGTGCTGACTACTCCCAAGGAGTTTCTTGTCTTTCATGTGCCTGGAAATGGGTTCCAGGATGAGCTGCTCCTTCACTTTCTCAGGGGTCAAGGCGAGACTGACCAACCTGTAGTTCCTTGGCTCCTCCTTGAAGATCCAAGTGACAGATCAGAGATGGGCAATATATCTATACTGACACACTATATTGTCACACATCAGGGGGGGCCAGTTCCCTCTTATAGATGCAGTTAGCTATGGGGTAGCTGCTCTCTGCTGCTCTCAGATAGGACGATGTGCTACAGATTGCTTTAAGCTCCCAAGAAGAGTACCTATACGCAAAATAGGTGCAGTCTGGCAGAAGACAGGAGAACAGCAAGTGACAACAATGCTAACCTGTGTGTACAGTCTTTTGGATGATAGTGACTTGCTGCTGTGCTTGTGAGTACTGCATGTTTCACAAGGCATTTAAAGGTGCTGAAGTATCTCATTTGAGAGATGCTTCAGTCCCTTGATAATCTCCATGGCCCTTAGTTGGACTCTCTCCAGTATGCCCATCTCTCTCTTGTGCAGAGGAACCCAGAACTGGACACAGTACACCAGGTATGGCCTCACCAGTGCTGAGTAGAGGGGAATCACCTCCCTTCATCTGCCCATAACACCAAAATAGCTTAGGAACAACAAAGTTAAAAAATGATAGCCAGTCTACAAGAAAGGAAGGAAGGAAGGAAGGAAGGAAGGAGTCAGCAGTGGGAGTCCCATTAGGATGTGTGCTGGAACACATCAGAAATAAAAGTTGACTACCAAAAACAGCAGAAGGGTCTTAGCATTCCAAGCGACTAGAGAGCAATAATTGGTGTTGATAAATGCAAAATGAAGCACATGGAGAAAAACAACCACAACTACAAACTCACAACACCCAGCAGTATATTAGCTGGTTCTCTTTTGAGAGCATAAGTACCTTTCCATACAATGCTGAGAAGTCACAGCTCCTGATAGGGGTCATTTAGAGGCTAGGAGTTTAACAGGCTTAAAAAGCAAATTCATTAGACAGTCCAACAAGAGCTCTAGACACACATATGCACCAGGCAACAAAGCCTTCAAGTCACTGGATACAGAAAATACACACTTTGGGAATTATCAAGGCACAGCTTCACAATATCCTGTACTACAGCAGCAAAATGGCCTCTCCTTTTTTTGTGCCAAATCCCTCCTGCCCGTTTCCAAACGGGCTGGAGTTCAGTTCAGAGCCTGCTAAGCTGTTTCTTCAAAAACAATTATTTTAAGGACTGATTTTAAGTGATCACGTTGGCAATATCATTTTTCTATTGGCTTCAGAGTCTTTTCAGCATAAAAGAAACAGACAATTGGAAAATTTCAACAACTGGAAACAAAAAGCTAAGACTAAGAACCACTTAAAACTGGAGAAACTACAGCTTTTTCTCCAATCTTACGCTGTTCTTAAAAACCTTTGCTAACAACCACAAAAAGCCAGTTCAGGACAGGATAATAATTAAACTAATACTAGCATCCAGAGTGTTTGCTACAAAATTGAAGACTATTCTTCCATCAACTCCCTGTTCTAAGAACCCATAAGTATAAAATTTTTAGCAAAATGGAAAGCATAACTAAGTAATTTGGTACAAGACCAAATTCTGGAAGAGGTAAGAGGGGGAAGAAAGGTTATGAAAAAAAGAAGCGTCACTCACACAGCATCACTGTTTACTATTTCTTCTTTAATTTTAACATATTCCAGTTGACTCTCCTGATAAATCTTGAGAGAACTCTGTGGAGAAGAAAAGCACAGTTAAAATATGCCCTTACTGAGGCCAAAATAAAATAGACAGCAGACACTTTACGTATTCTAAGGAAAAGACTGCAGAGTGAAAAAAGCATATGCAATAAGAAAACAAGCAAGTTGAAAAGTCAGGTTATTCTTCTTCTTTAAAGGCAAAAGTTACAACAAACAAATAAATAAACAAAACTCTATCTATCTAGTTTTTGAGTATGTGTCTCCAACACTTATCTGGACAGGAACTCAAAGTCAAAGTCAAAAGCACAGCTACTACACACCATACATATAATCCTGCTTTTTCTGAAAGTGTGATCAGGACAACAGTTACTAATGCTTGCTGAGGGAAAACTGTTTAAAAAACAGTTCTAACACAGAAGAAAAACTAGGTACAGTGACAAGACAAACGCTAATATCCTACCTTGTACTAGTATGAAAAAACTACAAGAAAGAGTATTTTTTTTTGCAGAAATAATAGTTAATGTTTAGAAAATACATATATTTAGGTGATCTGAACAGTCAAAAGCTTTTCTTCTGTAGACTACATCTCAGCTAAGAGATGGGACAGAAATTAGCAATAAACTCAAATAGCTAATAATGTAAAAGTATATGTTCAAAATGGTAACAGGAGCAAAATTCTCTTCTGCACAGATCCTCTTTGCACCTTTTTAGTACTACAAGTTATAGAGTTCAGTAATCTAGTAAGATCATAACAGAAAGCCCTGAATGTATCTCCTTCCTTCCTAAATAAGGAAATAATACCCAAATAATGTGATCAAAAATCACAGGCAAAAAGCTTAGACTTGTTTAGTTCTTATTTGAAACCTGCTGCCATTTAATTCATTTCATCTAAAATGAGAGCTGTCCATCCCAATGAGCCACAAATAACAACTGGGCTTATTAAAGCCTGCTTCATCAAGGGGAGCATTAAATATATACATTTTCTTCAACAGAGTAAGTGCAAGCTATTTAAACCTTACAAGCATACCTTTTTCTCCTCCAACTCTGCTTTCAAGGAACCCAACTCCTCCTGGCACTTTTCCAAAGGTAGGATTTTCTGCAGCATCTGCTCCACTTGACAACGAAGAGCAGAGATTTCTCTGAAACAGGAAGTATAATAATAAAGAAAAAAGTTTCCAAAAAAAAAAGAGTGCTTTCAAACTCAGTGTTTTGATCCTTCAGGACAAATGTCTGAGTATTTTGCTTTCCCCTACAGAAAACTGCTGTGAGATACCCAAAGACTTTGAAGAGTCTAGGTGTTCTCATTTTTCCATCCAACATTATACATTCAAAGAAAATTCAAGATCCGATTTAGAAACATTAAACTGAGCCTAAAGCTAGATGGAAGCAGATGGCATGTGGCACACAGGAATGCTGCACAGCTGCCTACACTGAAGTGCCAGGAATAAGTGTCTCTACGTAAGTAGTGCTGTGAAGTAAGAGCACAGTCCAACTGTGGGATTTTTCAGAAGGCAGGATGGAGTGTGTGAAGATTATATACTGCCTATTTCTCTATCATTAAGTAGAGTAAGCAAGGGCATGCAGCCACCACTCTAAGACAAAATGTTTCATACAAATAGGGCTGCCCTAAATATGCTTATATCCAGCCACCACCAAAAGATGGTCTCTACATCTCCACTTGGTGACTTGAGACGTAACACAGGGCCAGGAAAGAATTTCACACGGGTACTGTAGGACAGATTTCTCTCTTCATCAGGGTGTCTTTGCTAGTTACAGCTTAGAAAACACGGTAAAAGAAAGGACCATATTAAAGGCTCAGGGCTGTTGCTGTTACAACATCAGACTCCCAAAACTGTCCAAGACACCAAGAAGGTAGCATCTTTAGCAAACAGTTTAAAATCAAACTTACCGCTCAGCAAACTGAAGCTGTAATCTCTTGTTAAGGTAGAAATTTAAAACAGTTTATCAAACATCCTTAAGTATATTTCAATCCAGTCACCACTGGCAAAGGAACATCCAGTAAAGACTTCCACCCAAAAAAACAGGACTTGCAGAACTAAGTGTTTAATTAAAACATTTCAATATGCTTGAAGTGAATAAGCAGAGCTTCTTCTGTTACATGAAAAAACTTGAGTCATTCTCAGCAACAAGGCTTTCAAATAGCCCATATTAAGTCATATATTAAACACAGACAGATCTTAAGTGGATAGTTTTAATTCCAAACCCTTTTTTCTTTACAAAGCCTACCCAGTCTGTTCTTCACTAGAGGCATTATTTCTTAACTTAAGCCTTGAGTGAAAAACCTCAAGCCCTCTTACAGCAAATGTTGATGTACTAATTCTGTTAGAACACTAATAGAATAATAAAGGATATCAGTGCATTTCTGTTGATACTCTGTCAGCAAACGACTGCAAAGAAAAAAAAAACAACAAAAAGATTTACTCATTTTCTCACCTGATTTTAACACTCATGCCTTAGCATACATTTCCTTTTGCCTTACAGACAAATGCACACAGTGTAAGGTTGGTTTGCATTTTCTGATAAGTCAATATAAGCCTTTTGTTTCATTAAGCCATTCAAACCTCAAATCAGATAACTTTAGAACAGAAAAAAAAACAACGGACAATTACATGAATTTGTAACAATTTGCAGCTTTAAAAAAAACCACAACACATACACACAAAAAGCATTACTCATGTAAAGAACATAACATATAAATCATATACTAGTTCCCAAACTTAAAAGCATGTTTACCTAGGAAATAACACATAAATGTGAAAAAAAAAATAGTTCAAAAGACCCTTAAAAGGCTTTAATCTTTACACTATTCTCCTAGCAGCCAGAAGGGTATCGTTTACTCTGATCCAAGGCACACAGTGGGCCACAGGGCAGCACTAGGGAAAGCTATTCTCTCATTTTGTCTCTCTCACGATGAGGGGCCTGGAGCACCTCTCTTATGAGGAGAGGCTGAGGGACTTGGGTCTTTATAGTCTTAAGGCCAGAAGACTTAGGGGGGATCTGATCAACACCTATAAATACTTAAAAGGTGGGTGTCAAGAGGACGGGGCCAGTCTTTTTTCAGTGGTGCCCAGGGATAGGACAAGAGGAAATGGGCACAAACTTGAATATAAGAAGTTCCACCTAAACATGAGGAGGAACTTCTTCACTCTGAGGGTGGCAGAGCCCTGGAAGAGGCTGCCCAGGGAGGTGGTGGAGTCTCCTTCTCTGGAGACATTCAAACCCCACCTGGACATGTTCCTGTGCAACCTGTTCTGGGTGGCCCTGCTCTGGCAGGGGGTTGGACTAGATGATCTCCAGAGGTCCCTTCCAACCCCATGTGATTCTGTGATTTCCTCAAATGTTACGGTTTTTAAGAATGGGGAGCAGAAAGACCAAGAGAAATACCGTGGCAATTTCTCCAACATAGAGAGGGCTGCACTGCTTTCACTTGCAAGAGTTAAGAGTAATCAAGTAAGGCAAAAAAAGAAAGGGGCTGAGCTGCAAGTAGCTAAAGGAGAGGTAATTCCCATAAAAAATGTATGCACTGGCAGAGAGAAGAGGGACAGGGAGTTTGCAGGCAGGAAAAGGAATCTATGGAGATGGAGTAAAAAAGCTTTGAAGAAAAGTTCAGACAGTGAGGACTGTCTTAAATACTTTTTGGAAACCAGAATGCAGAACTGGAATTTAGATTCTCTAAAGGCAGATTGACAGGTGTCTGGGAAAGGGAACATGAGAAATAAATCACTACAATTGGGAGACATAGCAAGGATATTACACCACAGTATGGAGGTATACACAACGTATCTTGATACATTATTCCATACAATCATATGTTGATGATTATTGAGGAGAAGTGGAAGCAGTCACAGAAGAGAAAGCAAACTGGGAAGCATTTTAGAGTGTTCTACCCAATGTTCAGCCTCACTTTTCATATTCTGCTATTTAATCCAAACAGCATTTCACGCCTCAATGCTCAGACCACATTCTGTTGCAAAGGTTCATGTGCACCCGCGCACAACTTGCAGTTCTCACGCTATATTCTTCACAACCAATAAAATCAAATAACTCTCTTTGAAGAGCTGCTTCTGCCAGTATTTGTAATACTATATAAGCTATTATAGCTACAAAAAATAGCCCTGTTCTACTACCACTACACACAGATGTTTTAGGGCACAAATTAAAGTCTTACAGTTTAGATTTAGGACCCGTTTGTGAAGAAGTTACTTTCATTTTGAGGAGGATTTCATTTTGTGCATTAACAAATACCTACATTACACAAGATTTATTTGCTGCATTTCTTACTATATAAGCTATTATAGCTACAAAAAATAGCCCTGTTCTACTACCACTACACACAGATGTTTTAGGGCACAAATTAAAGTCTTACAGTTTAGATTTAGGACCCGTTTGTGAAGAAGTTACTTTCATTTTGAGGAGGATTTAGTTTTGTGCATTAACAAATACCTACATTCCACATGATTTATTTGCTGCATTTCTCTAAGAACAATAAAGAACAAAACCAAAAGCAACAATCCCAAAACCAAACCAAAGCAAAAAAAACCCAACAACCACTTATGCAATTGTACTTACTCTCCATCGATCATTTTTTGCTTCAGTGTAATTAATGCCGCTACATATTCATTTATATTCTGTAAGGAAGAGTCTGAAGTTGGTAAAGAAGCTTCACCCCAAAAAAACCAGTACTATACATTGCAAATAACCGCTAAACCGACAGCTCATCTTCCACACAATACAATAATCTGTCATCTTTTTTCAGTTCTCTTCATGAACAAGTTATTAATTCACCAAAAATATATTTATGTCAAACATACAGAGAATGCAGAGTATGCATATTTAGATGAGGCTTTATTATAAAAGCTCTTCAAACTTTGCCTTTACAGTAGATTATAAGAAAAAAAAAATAGTTCAAAAGACCCTTAAAAGGCTTTAATCTTTACACTATTCTCCTAGCAGCCAGAAGGGTATCGTTTACTCTGATCCAAGGCACACAGTGGGCCACAGGGCAGTACACTAAAACCCCCATAACTTTGTCCTCTCAAAATCAAACCAAGCTGTGGCAGAATATTACCGTTAACCAGCATCTACCCTGTTTGAGCCTAGAATAAAGAACAAAACCAAAAGCAACAATCCCCAAACCAAACCAAAGCAAAAAAAACCCCCAACAACTGCTTATGCAATTGTACTTACTCTCCATCGATCATTTTTTGCTTCAGTGTAATTAATGCCGCTACATATTCATTTATATTCTGTAAGGAAGAGTCTGAAGTTGGTAAAGAAGTTTCACCCCAAAAAAACCAGTACTATACACTGCAAATAACTGCTAAACCGACAGCTCATCTTCCACACAATACAATAATCTGTCATCTTTTTTCAGTTCTCTTCATGAACAAGTTATTAATTCACCAAAAATATATTTATGTCAAACATACAGAGAATGCAGAGTATGCATATTTAGATGAGGCTTTATTATAAAAGCTCTTCAAACTTTGCCTTTACAGTAGATTATACACTAAAACCCCCATAACTTTGTCCTCTCCAAATCAAACCAAGCTGTGGCAGAACATTACCATTAACCGGCATCTACCCCGTTTGAGCCTAAATTTCCCAGATTCTCAACCCAGACTCGCTCCCAGTGTGTAGGAGAGGCCTCCTCCGCCCTCGGGACGCCCAGCCGGGGCCCTTCCCCTCATTTAAAGGGAAAAAACCCCAAAATTGCCCAAAGCGTTACAGCGTTAGGACGACAGGCTGGCTGACAGAGCTGAGGGAAGGAGGCGGCTGATGACCCTCCTTCCAGCGCACGGACACAAACCCCAAAGGATACGCCTGGCAGTGCCCCGGGCAGAGCCCCGCCGCAGGGACGCCGGCTGCCCCGCCGCAGCTCGCCGGGCTGGAGGCCGCCGCCGCCGCCGCTCCTCTCGCACAGCCCGTTCGCCACAGTCGCTACCCAAGCTCCCGCCGCTCCGGGAGCGATGCCTACCGGCGCCCAGCGCTTCCCCCCCCGCCACCGGCCCGGCGCGGCCCC